GGAAAAGGCTTTGCACAAAGAAATACTTCAAAGTGTTATTTATATTAGTATAAAAAGGTCCAATATTAGAAGAATAATTAAGTATATTATGGCCTATCCACCAAAATGATATTTACAAAGCATTCTAACAACTTGATAAATGTTTATATAATAATATTTTAGTGCTAAAAGTGTGGCTACAAAAAACTAATATTGAGGATGATCAAAAATCTATACTATACCAAAAAAAAACTTGAAAGAAATTATCAGAATGTTGTCATTATCTCTGGGTAGTGGAATGGAGTATTACTATAATAATTATTTCCAAATGCTTTTCTATATTTTCTAAAGTTTCTGAATGAGAGAAAAATGTTATGGATAAATGTAAGTAAACACCACTACATCAGCTTTCAGCAGATTTATATTATGAAATCATAATAAACCTTGATTGATATATTCAACAAGTAATAATGGCAGAATAAAAAGAATATAAGGGAATACTCTGAACAAGTATATGATAACAAATTAGATAACTTAGATGAAATGTAAAAATTCCTCAAAGGACACAAACTACCAAAAATGACTCAAGAAGAAACAGACAACCTGAATAGATCTATAACAAGTAAAGAGATAGATAGAATAAAGAACTTAAAAACTACCCACAAAGTAAATCCCATATTCCAGATAGCTTCACTGATGAATTCCACCAAACATTTAAAGAGGAATTAATATCAGTGATTCCCAAACTCTTCCAAAGAATGGAAGAGAACACTATCTAACTCATTCTATGAGGCCAGTATTACTCTGATACCAAAATCAGACAAAAACATAAGAAAACTATAGACCGATATCTCTTATAAATATAGATGCAAAATTGCTCTATAAAATACTACCAAACTGAATCCAGCAAGACATAAAAAGCATTATATACCACAACCAAGTGGGATTTATCCTAAGAATACAAAGTTGGTTTAACATCTGAAATTCAATCAATATACTATGCCATATCATAAAGGACAAAAACCACATGATCATATCAATACATGCATAAAAAGCAGTTGAGAAAATTAAACACCATTTTGTAATAAAAAAAGAAAGAAAGCAACAAACTAGGAATAGGAGTAAACTTCTTCAATCTGATAAAGAGCTAAAAAGCATCTACAAAAAAGCCACAGATAATAGCATACTTACTGAGGAAAAAGACTGAATGCTTTTCCCCTTTTAGATCAGAAAAACAAGGATGTCTACTCTAACATTTCTATTTAACATTATAATTGAGGCAAGAAAATGAAATAAAATGCATTGGAAAGGAAGAAGTAAAACTACCTCTATTTGTAGATGACATGATTTGTAAATAAAAATTCCTAAGGAATCTACTAAAAATCTATTAGAGATAATAAATGAGTTCGGCAAGGTTTTGGGAAATTAGATCAATATACAAAATTCAATTTTTTATATACTTGCAATGAATAATCCAAAAATGAAATAAGAAAATTCCATTTACAATAGCATCAAAAAGAATAAAATACTTAGGTTAAATTTAACAAAAGAATTGTAAAACTTATACTATGAACATGATAAAACATTGGTGAAAGAAATTTAAAAAGACCTAAATAAATGGAAAGATATCCTGTGTTCATGGATGAGATGATTTAATCATTAAGATGGCAATATTCCCCAAATTAGTCTATGAATTCAATACAATCCCCATCAACATTCTAGCTGGCTTCTTTTGAGAAACTGACAAATTCATTCTAAAATTCATATGGAAATGTAAGGGACCCAGAATAGCCTAAACAATCCTGAAAAAGAGAAACAAAGTTGAAGGACTCATACTTCTCAATTTCAGAACTTTCTACAGAAGCTATAGTAATCCAGACACTGTGGTACTAGGGTAAGAAAGGAATATAGATCAATGGAATATTAATAGAGAGTCCAGAAATAAACCCTCACATTTACTGTCAATTGAATTTTGACAAGAGTAACAAGACCAATCAATGGGGAAACGGTTGTCTTTTCAACAAAAAGTGCTGGGACAACTGGATATCCACATGCAAAGAATGAATCTGTACCCCTACCTCACATCAAATGTGAAAATTAACTCAAAATGGATCAAAAACCTAAATGTTAGAGCTAAAACTACAAAAACTCTTAAAACATGAGCATAAATCTTTTTGGATTTGGCAATGGATTCTTAGATATGACACCAAAAGCATAAGCAACCAAAGAAAAAATAAACTGGAGGCCAAGGTGGGCGGATTATTTTAGCTCAGGAGTTGGAGACCAGCCTGAGCAAGAGTGAGACCCTGTCTCTACTAAAAATAGAAAGAAATTATCTGGACAACTAAAAAAACATATATATATATGTTTATATATATATACATAAAATTAGCTGGGCATGGTGGCACATGCCTGTAGTCCCAGCTACTGGGGATGCTGAGGCAGAAGGATTGCTTGAGCCCAGGAGTTTGAGGTTGCTGTGAGCTAGGCGACGGCATAGCACTCTAGCCCAGGCAACAGAGTGAGACTCTGTCTCAAAAAAAATAAAAAAAATAAAAAATAAAAACTGGACTTCATCAAAAATAAAAATTTTGTACTTCAAAGAATACCAACAAGAAAGTGTTGAAGACAATCCACTGAATGGGAGAAAATATTTGCAAATCATATATTTAATAAGGAACTTGTCTCCAGAATATATAAAGAACTCTTAACAAAATAATATAAAAGTAAATAATTTAAATGGGTGAATGCTCCAAATAGACATTTCTCCAAAGATATACAAACAGACAATAAACACATAAAAAGATGCTCAATATCATTAGTTATTAAAGAAATACAAATTAAAACCACAATAAGATACCCCCCTTCATACTCACTAGGATGACTATAATCAAAAGGACGGACAATAACAAGTGCTGCCAAAGATGAGGAAAAATTCAAATCCTCATGCATTGCTGGTAGGAATGTAGCATGGTGCAGTCACTTGGGAAAACACTTTGGAAATTTCTCAAAATGTTAAACATAAAGCAACCATATTACCCAGCAATTCAACTCCTAGGTATATATACCCAAGAGAACTAAAAATACATATTCATAGCAGCATTGTTCATATTAGTCAAAGAGTTGAAACACCCCAAATATCCATCAGTTGATGAGCGGATAAATACAATGTTGCATATTCATACAATGGAATATTATTCAGCAATAAAAAGGAATGAGGTGCCGATACATGCTACAACATGGACAAAGACAAAAAAGGTAACATAATGTATGATTCCTTTTTTTTTTTTTTTTTGAGACAGAGTCTTGCTGGGACTACAGGCGTGTACCACCATGCCCGGCTAATTTCTTTCTATTTTTTCAGTAGAGACGGGGTCTCACCCTTACTGAGGCTGGTCTCCAACTCCTGACCTCAAGCAATCCTCCCGCCTCGGCCTCCCAGAGTGCTAGGATTAAAGGTGTGAGCCACTGCTCCTGGCCTGTGGTTCCATTTAAATGTTCAGATAATCCATAATCCATATAGATAATCCATAGAGACAGAATGCAGATTAGTGGCTGTGGGGGTCGCTGAGGGGAGAGGGAAATAGGGAGAAATTGCTTGTTAGATAAGGAGTTTTACTTTGGAGTGACAGCAATATTTTGGAACAAGATAAGGGATGTGGTTGCACAACATTGTAAATGTACCAAATGCTACTTGGGTTGTTCACTTTACAATGGTTAACTTTATGTTATGGCAATTTCACCTCAGTAAATTAGGGATATTTGAAAGGAAAAGCAATCCAAAAATCTAAGCTAATATTTCCATTTGCATGTAACAATTTAAAAGTTGAAAAGTATTTCAAAAAGAGAGAATTTGCTTTTACAAGTTGGCCTTTTTTTTTTAACCTAAGAAATTTGGCTAAATATAAAGAACTGTGGATAATGCTAGATATAAAATAGACAATTATTCTCCTTACTCTCTGCTAATAAATTACTACTGTGGAATTAGTTCAGTTGGAGCTTTTGAAAGATTTATTTCACAATGCACTTAAAGATTTGAAAGCGTTAGCACACCTCCCATGTCCCTTCCTACTTTCAGAGATTAGTTTGCTAAATCATCAGCACAAGTCAGCTGGGAGGAGAACATTCGATTCCCAAAGGAAAACATCCAACACTAATTAGTATAGAATACTCTGCATCCTAAACTTTCCACCTTATGCCTGAGTAAACTTCCAAAACCAAGGTGTGGAATAGAAATTGGGAAAATAATCTATAACCTAGATAACAAAGAAATGACGTTTAAGAGCAAATTATTCATATAATTGTTTCAGCTTATCTGTTTTTATTTTAATTCGCTTGTTCAAGGTTATGTCCCTTAAACACTCAAGTTCATTTCAACTACATGGATTCCAGTATCCATGAAAAGAACTACAATACAAAATAAACACAGGAAATATTTAAGCTCCTAATTCTATGGTGGTAGAGGGATGCATGTCATCTATTCAGAAATAATATACTTTTTTGGGAAACATATGATCTAGCATTTCCCCGATTCTCCCTAGAACATTTTAAAAACATGAGGCAAATCTCATGAAGTTCTGTATTGAATAAATATAAAAATAATGTAATCACTCCATGATAAAATCTAATAAAAATTCAATGATGCTACTAAATGTCACACAAGTATAGATATAACTACTTATAAGAGTATTGAAGAAACAGATATAAATTACAGTATCTTTCTTGTTCCCTGCCACTGAGTTTTAAATTGAGATTTTATATTGGTACATTTTCAACTGAAATTAAATCAAACATAAAATATCTCTTAGATAATACTTTATGGGACACCATAAACTCAAAGCTACATCTTCCTAAAGGTAGTTTCCCATGCTCCCCCAATGGTTTAACTTCAGTTCAAGTGATGATGCCTTGTGCTAAATCACACAGGGCAGCTCGAGGACTGTGGGAGCAAATGAGAAAGGGTGAATCGGGCTCACTCGCCCCTTTTCATTCATAAACATAGGCACGTTCTCAGTACTGACCTGTCCCAGATCTCTTGTTTTTCGTTGAGGAAGTGCCACAACCCATGACTTCTTTCTAGATCGTATGTTCATAAATTCAACTTCCGATTCCAAGAGAGTGTGAGAAGTCCCTCCCTTTATGCTGCGAGGAACCTCTCTTAGCTGATCGCCTTCAGTCACAGATACTAATGAGGAACACACAGGAGAGAAGGAAGGAAACCCACAGTTAACAACATGGTAGCTAAGGGGCTGCTCAGCAGGATGCATTTTATGCTTCTTCTGAATCGCTGTTCATCATGTGATGTGGAAAGTGATCAGACATAATCTAATCCTGGTTTATTTTCCAAAACACAGCAGCAGCTACAGAGCAGCTATAGAATGTTTTTCTGCTAGACATAAATTATAGTTTCCTCATGTCTAGGTCAGATCAAACTCTATATAAAATAAAGCATTAAAAATGAAAAGAAAAATTGAAATGTAAGAATATACGATTTTCTAATTAAAACACATGGAATGGGATATGGAGAAACTGACATAATTAACTGTTTTGGTTTTAAGCTCAAAGTAATTCAATCTATCTGGGCTTTTGAAAACAGAATTAGAGGCTGACTATGAGACAAAAAACAATATATTTAAACAACTATGCCAAAATTAAAAGTGAATTATTTGACAATATTTATCAAAATCAGTTGGGGGCACTTGTTAAAAAAAAAAGTAGGCTGAAGACCTCCCCTAAAATTTAGGAATCATAATCTGTAAGAGTGCCCTTTTTAACAAGCTCTCCAGGCATTGCTGTGGACCCTCGGAAGTCTACCCTCTTGCTCAGTAGGCCTTCTGATGAGTTTGCTGACTTCCAAAATCACTTGATGGGAGTTTTCAACAAAATTCCTTCCTGTAGCATACTGCCCCATTGCTTTTTGGAGTGATGGTTCCTTCATTTTGTGATGTTCCAACTCAGTCTGATCCAATATATATACATTTCTTAATAGAAACAAAGTCAGAGAACAACTGGCATGTCTTTTTCTGTTAGTACTACACTAAAGGCTTCAAAATTTCAACTCAACTAAAGAAAGGGAAAACTAAAATGAGAAAAATATTTGAACTATGGGAATATTTTTAAAACAATAATAACCTTACTAAACAGATTTTCTGATCAGAGCTGGGCCCGATTCTTTTATGTATTGAATTTATTAACTCTCCTTAACTTTGGGTTATTTCCAAATTTGATAAGCATTTCTTTCGTGTCTTTCTTGCCTACATCATGGATCAAAAATGTTAACAAGGTTAGGTTCAAGGGTTGAACAAGCCTTGCGGCATTCCACTCCAAATCATTCTCCATTACATTCATACTCTGAGCATATCTGTTCACTTAGGTGGTAAATTTACCAATAATAACTATCATATTATTTATCTGTGAGACATCCTGGGAAATTTTACTAAATATTTTAATACAATTATGATATATATCTTGATACCTTGACATTCCAGCCAATCCCAGCAAAAGAAGAAAAAGAGGAGAAGGAAGAGGAGAAGGATGGGGAGAAAAGGAGGGAAGAAAGGCAAGATGGGTAGAAAAGGAAGGAAGAAAGGAAGGCAGGGAGGAAGGAAATCAGTTTGGCATGATTTTTTATGACAGAATCATAGGAATTTAAAGGTGGGAGAGATCTTCAAAATTACCTAGTATTTCCACAAAGTACAAGGAAATTAAGCAACTTGCCTAATATCACAGAGACCTGTGGTTGTCAAACTTTGTTGCATATTAGAATCACCTAGGGAGCTTTTAAAATTCCCAATGCTGAGCCTGAACCTCATTAAGTCAGAATCTTTGGGAATTTAAAAGATACTCATGCCCTGATCCCACCCCCAGAGATGTTGATGTAATTGGTATTGGGTGGGGACTGGGCATCAAGACTTTTCTTTAAAAGCTTCCCATATTCTAACATGCAGCAAAATTTAACAATGTCTGATAAAGACGATGTTATAGCAAACCCATGATGATGCCTAGTAATGATGACATTTTCCTAGAAATGCTTTACTCCATCTATTTCAAGTCGAATTTTTCTAGAGGTCATGTCAGGCCTACAAGTCTGTACCTTCTAGTACCTATTCTTTTCTTGGTTTTGAAACTGGGACACTATTGCCCCATCTCGGTTTCTCAAAGGTCATCTGCAGTGCCTATGAGAACGCAGCTGCTGGTTCCTTCATCACCCTTTGAAGTAATTCATCTAGTCCTGGCAACATTCCCCAAGTGCCTAGATCAGTGCTCTCTGACTTGAGTACTCCCGAGACTTGCTGGGGGAATGCAGATTCCCAGGCTTTTAATGCCAATACTCAGATTCAAAAAGTCTGGAGGCCTGGGAATCTGCATTTAAAGCGCACCCTTCAGGGAACTTTGATGCAGGCAGTTCCCACATCTCAGTTTGAGAAATGTGGCTCTCCAAAAGTAGCCATATCTCCCTCCCCTGGGCTTCGCTCCATCCTTATGCTAATTTTTCCACCCCTTTTTATGAATATACCGTGTTTCCCCGAAAATAAGACCTACCCATAAAATGAGCCCTAGCAGGATTTCTAAGCATTTGCGCAATATAAACCCTACCCCAAAAATAAGACCTAGTGATGGGCGTGGCTACGCAGCGCATCTGCACAACCATGCATTTCCTCAAGGAGCGGTAAAGAAGACGAGCAGCCCTTCTCATCTGCCCCATGGTGACAGCTGCTATCCCAGAGGTGACCAGAAAGGTGTGGGCAGCCCCACCAACAAGGTCGGCTCCCCCTGTCAGGTCCCGGCCATCCTATGCGTGCTCCTCCAAGCTGAGGCTTTGAGGGGAAACTAACACATCCCCTGAAAATAAGCCCTAGGGTATCTTCTAAAGGAAAAACAAATATAAGACCCTGTCTTATTTTTGGGGAAACACGGTATAAGAATTACGCATTGAGTGGGCCACAGAAACTGATTGGACTGATAGGTACATTTCAATCTCGATTTTCTTCTTCCAGAAAGAAAAAAAGCAATGTCTCTCCAAAGGCATTTGGTTCTCAGCCACCTCTCAGTTAATTCATTTCACAACACACAAAATTCCATATAAAAGATTCACTAACTCAGCTGGTTGAAGGCAGGTAAATAGAGAAAAATAATTTAAAAAAAAATAAATAAATAAAAGATTCACTAAGAACTAAAAAGCATCAAACTTGCATATATTTCTGTTAGACTGTTAGCTCCATGGGTAACTTTCTAAATACACCCTTGAATTGCTGGTATCTACACGGTGCTTTTCACGTTGCAGGTGTTTGATAATGCCAAATGAATGAATAAATAAAAGAATAAATATTTCTAAGCCAGAGTCCTTTATAAAATTAATTGCTAAAAGTCATTAGTCCATCACTTTGTGCACAGATATGTGCTATTTGATTATACAAAATCTTTTTATTAAACCAGAAAATGGGTAGTGCTTATACATCCATTTTTAAAGAAAATTTTAAATTTATGATGGGAATAATAATTGTTATAGAATTATTTGGTTATCCATTAAAAATTGCCTATTGTAATTTTTACATTATTCACTAATTATTTTTAAACTGTTTTTCTCTCTCAAGCAATAAGTCAAAAAAAAAAAAAAGTCAGTTCTCTTTAATTCTCACCAAACATGAGCTGGTTAGGGCAAAGTGCCACTTACCCCTCCCACATGCTACCCAACCTAGACTTCAAGGCACAGGGGGAAGTGAGTTTTGTAAGCAGTAAGCATGACTTTGAGGACACCTCTGACTGCCCGTAAAGCTGATAAAAATGATTTTTGGATTTTCCATTACGTAGTAAAATCTAAGCTTCTTCCATTTCCTGCTTTCCACCAGCGTTAGAAAAGCACTTAGTGCACGAAGGAAGTCTCTGAAGGAGCGATTCCCTGCAGCCTCGCAGGGGTTCTCTGCTCAAGAGATGGGGGCTTCTGCAGGGTCCGCAAGGCCACAGGTGCCCTAGTCAGTGACAGGAACCACTGGGGTGGATCTTGGCAAAAAACAGCTTGAAATTCGCCCAGTGTTGCTGCCCCTTCCAACCCTTACCAAGGATGGTTTTAAAGAGTAAACATAAAATAATGACTCATCATGGGCACTCACTTATAATCTGCAAAAGGAGCCTTCTGGTAAAAGGTTTATACTGTGTGTGTGTGTGTGTGTGTGTGTGTGTGTGTGTGTGTGTGTGTGTGTATGTGTGTGTGTGTGTGTGTGTCAAGGGTGGGGATTGAGGGGGGAGAACTTATATTTTTCAGTTCTCTTCATGCTAACCATTCTTCATTTCCAATGCTGAAAATACAGGCGAAGAAGAAAAGACTGACCCTTGGAGTCAACCTAACCTCTGCCACTAAGCACCCTCCAAGTGCTAGCTTAGCTTCCCACACTGTTCTTATTCATTCTTAACATTATTTCAAAGTGCATCTCTATCCAACTCCCACACTTTAGCTCAGCCACCCTGACCGTGATTCTACCTCTGGCATTCTAGATGTCAGTTGTGTAGCTCCCTGTGCTAGAAACTCAGCTTTTCCTAGAGATGACGGCTTTTATGAGAAATTCCTACTCTATCTCTGGCTCTGAGGAATTCAAATCTGGAACCCATAGTCATTCAATTGGCACCAACCTCTCCAACCCGTCACCACCACCACCACCATGGGAGTTCAATAGACAGGACTAATTCTTTCCCCCCTTGGACTGCGTAGACACTAGCGTGGAGGACAGATACCTTATCAGACTCACCCTACTGAATTCTCTTTGTTATTCATTGAAATAGAGGTTTTATAGCCTGATGTCTGTGGCCTAAATATAAATAAGAGGTGGGGGAGAGGAGTCCCTGGCAGACCACACTAGTGAGGTCCCTCCCACTACTACCTTTCCAGTAGAACACTGTAGCATTTGCTTGCGTTTGGGGTGTTCCATGAATAGGGGAGGTCTTTAAGCATGAGCTGGTGATTCTTCCTGCATCAGATGAAAGGATAAGAAAAGGGAAGAAACTCTACTGCCTACCAGAAGGTATCTGAAGGTGTCTGCTGGTACATCAGACAGAATTGTAGTCAGGATGCAGCTTAGCCTGGTGCTAGGTTGTTAAAGTGTGTTTGTGGAAGAGTAGTTCTGTGTGGTTTATGATTCTAGGAATAAAGCAAGAAAAAAAAAGTCCCATCATCAGATAAATACAGGAGACATAGGGTTTAAACAGGTTTCTTTACTGCATGACTTCTCAGAGCCTTCAATATGTTAATGTGCATGTAAATATCTAAGAGACAGCTGACTGCTGTTTCCCAAAATGCCTAGCAAGGGACCCCTTTGAGGTAAAGCATCTCAAGAACAACTGTTGTTCCTGACTGCCTAATGTTGGCCCAGTGGGGCTTTGGCTTTAGAAGTCAGACAGCCAGGGTCTAGATTGTCAGCTAGTCATGAATTACTCTGTACCTCAGTTTTCTCATGTAGAAAAACATGAAGAATAATGCATACCTCACTGACTTGCACTGAAGACTTAATGAGGAGCTCAGTGATGGGGGAAAACTGGCTTGAACAAAGAGCAACTCTTCATAGCTGATGAGTCAGGAGAAGCCATGCACGGGTGAGTATCCACGGTGTTTGCTCAAATTTCTTTCTTCAGAACACTTTGTCTTGGGCTTCCCAGAAACTAAACCCCTTGGGTGTCTATAGATTCTGGGATAATTGAAGACTCACAAAGAAATGGGCTCCTTTTCCTCCACCCCATCAAGAACTCTAAGATCTGAAAGAAGGCTATACCATTAATAATAATCATAATAATGGCTAAAATGACTACTGTTTATTAAGGAACTACTATTTACTCAGCACCATAGGTGATTTATATTTCTATTATTTCAGTCAATCATCACAGCAAACTTTCAAGGTAGTATCATCACCCCCATATTACAGATGAAAAAACTGAGGTTCAGAAATTAAATATTGTACTCCCTAACACAGCGGATTAGCAGCAGAACTAAAGACTCGCTCTGTTTGGTCATTAAAGAACAAATATGTCTGTCCACTAAAAGGCTGGTTACACCTTGGCTTCAGGATCAGTCTGTGTAAGACCTAGACCACTAAAGAGAATTCTTAAACATTACAAGGAATTCCATTTCCATTTCTTACAGATAGATGAAAAGCCTGTTGTCCTTTACGATTACAAGAGGTCAGGGGAAATATAACTTTGAAACATGAAGTCATGCAGTGGAGTTTGGGGAATAACCCATGAGAGACCTAGAAGGGTTTCTCAAAGTATCCCTGCTGTCATTTTCTAACTCTCACCCAAGTGGCCATAGAGTTTTTCCAAATATTGAGTTCATAGGAAATAGGCCGCAACCCTTCAGATTGCCAAGTCATCTGTACACCTTTTCAAACTGATGACAACTGATTTACAATCAGCATCTCTGAGAAAAATCATTCCTAGAAATTGCAAAGCAATAAAATAGACTCCAAGGAGTGTACATCTCCTGTTCGTTGCCACACAATATTTGCTTAGGAGGTAGAATTCTGCTTGCCCAAAATGCCTAAGAATAAACAAACATATTACCTGTTTCTTCTGCTTGGCCAATGCAGAGGTTTTTCCTCACCCCAGGTGTTTCAAAAGAAACAAAGATGGAAAAAAAAAACCCTTCTCTGTGAAGGAATGCTGAAGTCGGAAAGAAGAGAGGTAAAATTCCAGCTTTCTCTGGAGCACCCCTCACACACACATACACACACACACGTAGCTCACATCTCTGCACGGAGAGCTTTGTTTAAATAAGTAAACAAATAAACATATGCACGCACATCCACCAAGAAAAAGAAATAACTAGAACAGGGCCAAGCTGCTTTGCCTTTCAGCCGGGAAAGCGAGCCCAGAGCCACGGATCGGATCAGGGAGAGGCTGCGCTGGCCCTGTGAGCCGCAGCTGTCTGTCCCAGCCCTGCTCTGCTCCAGGCCTGGAGATAGAGGGATGTGCTCAAGTAATGGGCTGCAAAGTCAGCGGTCACATGACTGCTTCCAAGGGGACCAGGCTCTGTATAGGCAGGGCCAGGCGGCTATTTGCAATAAATAATCTGCCTTCAGTACAAAGTAGAAAAGAGAAATTTCAGTAAATAAGGGCAAAAAAGTATTCTTTCGGTAAACTGATCATGATTTTTAGAAAACAGCACAGTAACCTGGGTCGAATTAAGAGAAGTGGGAAAAGGAAGCATTTAAGGGAGCATCCATTGGGTGCAGTGCTGCAAACGAATTCATATGACATTTGTATCCCACCAGCTCTTCCATGAGCTCTTTGCTGGAGAACCTATCTGAGAAAGGGAGATTCACTCCCTTCATGAGCAGGAAGGAAAAGGAAAATGGACCTGCTGAGTTTGGGGGAGGAGGAACACATACTTGAAAACTCAAAGTGCAGGTGTCAGTAATGAACGCCCCAGCTCTGCCACCTTTCGAGGCACTCCAGAGGTGGTCTTATCCCCATAGTCTCGTGCTGACTGCGGCTGCGCCACCAGCAATCCCCACCCCCAAACCCTTCCTAGCTGGTCACACAGCATATGCGTTTTCAAGCTTACCGTCCTTAGGCATCACTCACTGGGATTTAAAGGCCTCCAGCCATAATTATTTCATAACCCCATCCAAGCTGCTCTTTAGCCCAATTCCTTCCTGCATTTGAGAGCCACAGGAGATCTAGTACAGTGGTTACCTAGTTTGCTATTTAATCTGATGGAGTCACTTTAAAAATAACTGGAAAGACAGCTTTGGGCTTCAGTCCTCCTATTAGTATATTAAATATTATCAAAGGGCCTCGTTGAGAGGCAATACAAGGGTTTAGGTTCCCATGGTGGGTACACCAAGATTAGGACCTGATGAGGCTGCCACACACATTGTAAGTGATAGCAGAATTACCCGGGCTCCTGAAAAAATAGTGGACAATGTAGCTACATGGCTGGTTTCCCCGCCAAATGCCTATTCAATCCACGGTGATTAAATGATGGCTATGTCTACATACAGTTGTTCCAATGTCACCTCCCCTGTGTGAAGCCTTTCCTGAATCACCAAAGGGTAATTAGTCACTCTGTCTTTTGGCTCTCAAAGCCAAGTGTGTGTTTAATTATAGAGCTTCCCAAAGTATGCTGTAATTTTCCCTTTTACATGTGAATTCCTAACGGGAAAGGACCCATTTCATTTGTTTTGGCATCCCCAGCACCAAATGCAAAAGAGGTACTCACCAAATATTTGTTTAGTCACAGAAAGAAAGGAGAGGAGGGAAAGAACTTGTGATTTAAGTGGTTATTTTAATGGTCAGCCTCTGGACCATGAACTGGATTGGCTGTGCCCTTTATGTGATTTGTTTAAAACTTAGAATTTTCTCGAAAGGAACAACTTCATTGTATTCTTCTATTGTAGAAAGAACACCAAAACGTTACTTTGAGCACCACAAGAAGTCCTACAGCCAGCCTTCAATTGTTAAATGAACCAACACTGATGTAAGTAAATAAATCACAATAATGATAATAACACTGAGCACTTACCATGTTCTAGGCACTTATTCATTTTATATGTGTTAATCTTACTTAATCCCCACACCATCCTATGAGGTATACGTTGATATTATCCCTACTCACACATTAGGAACCTCAGCCCAAAATCAAACAGCAAATCCCAGTTGGCATAACTAGTATTTGAACTCAGGCACTTTGACTCTAGAACTCCTGCTTAAAATCGTTACACTATACTGCCTTGGTGTGTTTGCACATACAGGTTTCAGCCTCTTCCCAGATATTCTCTGGCTTTCCTGCAGCTGAGCTGGGATGTGTTCTCCCAGCCTGAAAAAAGACAAAACAATGGCCAAAGCACTGTTAACAGTTTAAACCTACTCGTGAGCAGATTTATACCCCCAACAGTCAAGGTTGGTCAGTTTCTCTCTCAGAGGCACATCATATGAAAACAGCCAATAGGAAAGGTGGGTGGTCAGGTGCCCCCCAGAAAAGGCCATGGCAACACCAAATCATCTTTGTGCTCTTCCATTCAGTTAATCAAACTGAGCACCTCCCATGTGGCAGGCACTGTGCTGAGGGACAGGGACACAAATGGTGAACAAAATACACATGATTGGGTGGGACAAATACATAGGTAAATAAGAAACTATAATAAAATTACAAGTTAAAAAATATGTCTCCCCTATTGGAATATACACTCCAGGTATCTATAACAGTGCCAGGCACATAATAAATATCTATTACAGGAAGAAACAAAAGCAATACAGTATGATACAATCGCTAATAAAACAGGTGGAGAACACTATGGGAATCAGAGAAAGCGCCCTATCCCACAAAGTGGGGTGAGAGGAAGCTTTCTAGAAGTGATGCCCAGGCTGAGACCTGACAATTGAGCCAGCAGCAAAGAGGAGGGGAGAGAAGAGGGTGTTCTCATATAGATGCATATTCTACGGTACTTACCAAGGATGTGAAATGGGAGAGAGGAACTAAAAACCAGAATGCACGGCCTTCCTAATGCTAATGCTGCAGTTAGACCTGGAGCCAGTAGAGAAGGTACTCAGCTGTTAAGAGTGAAAAACGGCAGCCCTCTCCATCTCTGCAGGCTAAACTTACTCTTTCTTGGCTGCCTCCCCTTCCTTTCTCACTTCCCCACTCCCCTACCGGCTTCACCTTTACTTTCCAAATTAACTTCTTGCTCTCAAATGCTTGTCTCAGGCTCTGCTTCTGAGGGAACCCAAAGCAGGACCCCTGGTTAGTTCAGGGTAGTAGCAAACTATGGAAAGACAGAGGAGAATGGAGAAAGCTGCCTACCTCACAAGGGAGAGAGAGGGCATTGCAGGCAACCTCTCCTATTTCCCAAGCTTCCTGAAGCTGGCCACAGTTCCAATTTCTGCCAAGGCAAAGTAATTCTAATAAGCTGCTCTCTCATTATTGATCATGACACACCCTAAGGAGTATGCTAGAATATAGGCAACGCAGCTGGACTGGGGAGGAGACTGACAAAACAGCGACGTGTGCAGATCTGTTTGGTGGTGGATACCTAAGGTGTCTGTCTACTCTGGCCCCTGATACCTCAATGCCCCATAGCACCAAGGTGGGGACACTCTGCCAGGGCTGGCCTCCCGGCTCTGGCCACTCTGAGTTAGCCTTCTGATGCTGGGGTCAATGGTAGGCAACCACACCCAATCACCACTTAACCCCTAGTAGTCTCCAAAATTGGGGTAGCTGTTCCATAGCAGATACACAACAGATGTTGGAAAGCAAAAAATAAAACCTTAGAACTTGTATTTTTATCTATTTTCTTTTCTTTTCTTTTTTTTTTTTTTTGAGACAGAGTCTCACTTTGTTGCCCAGGCTAGAGTGAGTGCCCTGGCGTCAGCCTAGCTCACAGCAACCTCAAACTCCTGGGCTCACGCGATCCTCCTGCCTCAGCCTCCCAAGTAGCTGGGAGTACAGGCATGCGCCACCATGCCCGGCTAATTTTTTATGTATATTTTTTCGTTGTTCGGCTAATTTCTTTTTATTTTTAGTAGAGACGGGGTCTCGCTCTTGCTTAGGCTGGTCTCGAACTCCTCACCTCAAGCAATCCTCTTGCCTCGGCCTCCCAGAGTGCTAGGATTGCAGGCATGAGCCACTGCACTTGGCCTATTTTCTTATTCTTGTTAACTTTTCTATTTCCATGTATATTTGATCATGTACACAATAATAGATGAGTTCAGTAATATTAGTTGTGAATAAATTAATATTCCTGGTCCATTCTCAAAAA